AGAAAAGTTTTGCTAAAAATGGAATTGTAGCATCGACTGCTGCCCTTGCAATGAGAGCATAAGAGCCTAGTCTTTCATCCATGGCTGCCAGAACATAATAAGAAAATGTTAAAAAAGGACAGCACAAAACCTGCAGACTGGCTGCAAAAAGACTAGATCAAGAACCAGTAATCATAGAATTTATTATGCTCACCGGATACAGAAGCCAGGCAGTCAGCATCATCTTCAGTAGTAGCTGACGCAGATGCCACTAGAGAAACAAACTTTGCTTGAATATAGATTTGATAAAGAAAAGAGTTCCAAACCAATAGAAGTTGTAAAGCAGAGGTCAAAAGTCTGGAAACCTTTACCTTTTAGTTCAGATTCCACAATCAATGAAAAGAGACTAGCTGCAGCATGCATACCCTCAGGTGGTAGCCTCGCATTACCCCCAGAACCATCCATTGACTGGCAGGAGTCATCACAACCTTTGGTCAAATAGTGCCCACTAGTATCTCATAAGACACAATTTACTTTAAATGTATCATTCTTCTAGACTATAAAAACTTGTCGGCAAAGACAATAATTGGTCGTTATAAATACCCTGACGATCACAAAGAAAATGCCTAAAGTACCCCCAGAGAGCCAGATATGGCACAAAGTTTCATAAACACAGTGATGCATGATATTATAAATAGATGCAGCAGTAATAAAATAAATCTTAACCATACTCACAGCAAGGAGTGTGGTCCAGGTATCTAGCAAGATATCGCGTGCCTCATAGCTCCAGGTCTCTTCATCAGTACTATTTGCCATTAGTACTTTGACAACTTCACCCATTAACATAGATAAGAGTGTAAGGGTGCCAAAGGGCCTGAAGAAACAGAAAGAAAAACTTTCTATGAATAAAGAAAAACCAAATGGCTTTTAACTGCAAAAAAAGGTTATATGTCAAAGACCTCAATGATCGCAAGAGTTTGTCAAAGACAACAGGAGTAGTAACAGTCCCAATCGATAACAATGCGCGACAACCATCAATCATCTCACTGGAAAAAAAAGCTCAACAACACAACGTCAGACTTGGAATATATGACAACAAAAATCAAACAGGAAAAGAATGTTGAGCAGCTCACCTTCCACTCCTTCCTTCTTCAATTTCCTTTGAAATGACATCAGGAGGATCAATCCAGGGCAACACACCCGACAGCAGGAGGAGCAGATGTTGCTCTTGCATCTGCCCATTGTCTAAATTATTGAACAAGTCACTCACAGATAAATATATAGCTCGATAAGAAAGACGTGATGAACATCCATCGTTCCTCATTAACGATGCAAACTAGATAATGGGCAAATTTGATGTTTCTATAACGCATTCAGCAGAAGATTATATTAATTAGTAGAAAATACAAAAGCATATAACACTCACCGGATGGAGATATTTCCCCTGCCAAGGAGCACAATTGCACGATAAGTTTCCGAGCAGAGACTGCAACAGGACAATCTAGCCAATAGCCTTCAAGATCAAACTTCTGCCTCACCGACGAATATAAATTTATCAGCCATCCAACATGTGAGCTTGAAAGCAAAACATCACACCACGAAGCTCCAGGCTACAATCAGCACCACTGAAGGTGAGATTTATGAAGAGCTCATGAAAGTGTCTTAACGGTAAACAAGTATAAAATCAGACATGCTAGCATGTGGTCTCTCAGAATTTCAACAAGATAATTAGCACGTGTCATAAATCTTAAATGTAACCATTAGCTACCTGAACTATTACACATTCTGTCTTTCTTGAAAATGCATTATCAGGTCTAATTCCGTCAGAGAATACATTAATGCTGGCTCTTGTGCCACCTTTGCTGTAACGAAACTCCCAATTTAGTATTTGATGCATTAATCGCAGTGTAGCATTGCAAACCTTAACCTCAGGGACACTAGAATGCGATTCGATAATCTTGTTTGTAACACTCAAAGCAGCATCTTGTGCCCACTGATAGAAAGTCTGCAATTGAAAACATAAAAAGTAAACAACACAATTTTAGTAACAGAACCCTCCATATAGGCTATTATTCTTTCACAGACGAAAGGATGACGGGTGTAACAATAACTGGAAGCAAATGCAATCCTACGATTACCTTCAAAAAGTTTTGCTCTAGTGACTTGCGACAATTTTCATGAAATTCCCTAGGGAGACCCATGGCACTTGAAGTAGAGGGTGAGAATTCAGATACCTGAGATGAAGAATTGTGAGCAACCATATGGTATATATATATATAATGCCAGAAACAATAGAAACAGATCGTTACCAATGATTCAAGAAAATTTACACCGATGAACTGCACATCTAAGCCACGAGAACCAAGAATAGCCTGGTTGATCTGTAAACAGCAGTTGTTAAGGGACATAAGAAGATCAACCATGATCCTTTTAATAAAAACATTAATATTGGACGACTTTCCAATATATTTTTCAAAATAACTAACAGCAATACCACAATTTTCATTTCTATGAAGCCATGACTCGTAAACCCCCATTTCTTTTTATTAAGGCATGGAGCATATCAATACATATCTAGCTGAAATAATGGAGGCACATATTGTAAGGACCTGTTACTACTCAAATGATTACTAGTTAACCCACTCAATCACTCTAAATCCTTTCTTGTCCATATATTTAAGGTACAGTTAAAATGCCCCTTACTACATTTGCCATCATCTTCACGGATTCATGCACATTTATATTTATATAAACTATTATGTTTACAATGGCCAGTATCAGATAACAAAATATATGCACCTCATGCTAGTCAAACGATAAGATACAGAAACTAAAATGAAAGTCTGAAAAATTACAAAACAATGTAGATACCTGATAGAAAAAGACTTCCTTCTCGGCTGGAGTAAACTCAAGCCTGTAAGAGTAATTTATTCAGATTAGAGGTTCCACTAGATGAACAAAGCAAGCAAAAAACAGAAGTAGCTAATTTGTCTAGATTTCTTTGCACTACTCTAATTTTCCAGAAGCTACCAGTCATAAATGTCTGTGAACGACAACATCCTTTTCATGAATCCTCTCATATGCATAGAATCAGAAGTGACAGATAACGTCCAGCATCTAGTGTGCATGTTTTAATAATTTCAATACCAGAGAAGCCCACCGCAGCTTACCAGCCTCTTTTCATCAGCTGTGCTGCCACAGAAGATACTTTTGAAAGCACATATCCCTCGGATGAATTAGCATGCTGCATGACATAGCCAAGGCAGAAGCTGCAGAAAGAATTCGCCATATTTCTTAATTATTTTTATTAATATAATCCAAAACTTCATAATAAAAACCTCTAATTTCTTATAAGTCATGGTTATCTCGGAAAATGATGTGGCCAGGATATCCTAAAATTACTATATTGTGAAGCATGAATGCTCTCAGTTGATTTGCAAAGCCAATCAAAAATTACAAAATTAACACCAAGGTTTGCTTCCTGATAGAGCAGAGGGTGACCGCTCAACTAACTGGACGCTTGAGCACATATCACCCAAATCACATAAAAGAAGAGAAATTACTTAATCAAACCCCCTTTATCATCTGTGGCAAGAAAGCTCCATTCCCTGATAGCTGCTTCTCGTATAGCTGCAGCAGCTTGAAACCTAGCATTTGCCACCTGAGAATTTTCTGGAAGTATGAAACACTTTCAGTCAAACAGATGTAACTTCCCAAGTTCACTTGGCCGGTTCTGGACTCATCAGAAAGACTTACCAAGAATATATCTACACGCCTTATACGGCTGTGGGGACTGGTGAAGCGATAAAATGGTAGCCTCGGCAGCAACTGGATTACTATTTATCTGTAGGAAAGAAAGGGAAATGTCATGTCCACATGAGTTAGGCAATCACATGGAAACATAGAACCATCTTGTTTCAGAAATGCTTAAAAAACCATGACAAGCCTTTTATACGCAAAGAGACTTCTTACTTCATATAAATTCAGAAAGACGGCAATAGTAAACTAGTTCAGTGAGGCATGTAGTCTCTACACCTTAGTCAACAGAGACGCACAGATAAACAAACAGAATAAAAAAGAAGAAAATCTCACAAAGCAATTTGATAATTTCCAATACTCTACAGTGACTTCAATTTCAAGCCAAACAAATTACGAGAAAGCATATAAACAATTTCATAAATGCAACCACACGCACACATCTACAGCTTCCTCCAATATATTAGGAAACCAAAAAGATCAACCAGGAGACAAGGAATGGAGCGAACCACAACTTCATGCGTATATGTATGAAGAAAGAAGAAGCAAAAAAGAAATAGACCTGAATGTAAGAGCAAGCAAGTTCAATCGCGCGCATCCTCAGCTCCAACTCCACCGCTTACATTAGAAAACCCTAACATCTCCTCCCTCCCTGAAGCACCGATTCCGGCAGCCGGAAAAATCAACAGTCTCGTCGCTTTCCAAGTAGAAAAATCTGAAAAATCTGATCGAGTTGATTGGAAAGTGTGAAGAATAAGAAGATGAAGATTCGATCGAAGAAGGAAAGTGGCGGCGTTGAGCAGTGTGAAATGGCGGAGAAAGGGATCCGATGGCGAGAGAGCCGGAGAAATGGAAACGCTGTTTTTACAAGGGCCTGTCGCTGCTGAGGCTTATTTGGAGTTTTTTAAGTGGACATGAAGTTCCCTATTATTTACGGGAATACCCTTCCTTCATCTTATAAATGAGGTTAAGGACCTGAACCAATGGACCGGGTCGGTTTAATCAGTATATGATCATTGATCGTGGTACAGTGTGATCAATTCAATTGCTTTATGAATCAAACTTTTTTTTCCTCAGAATCTGTAGAATATAGAGACTTAAGTAATGGATTTAGTTTTAACTCTCACATTGATGTGTTCATCAATTATCTATGTTCTAAATTTCTAATGAAAACAAAAACAAAGAGTACGAATCAGAAAGACTCATTCATTATTCATCTTCAGGGTCAAAATTGAGTGAAGAAAGCGATTAAAGAGTAGACAACATTATAAAAACAGGCAATATTTTATAATGACTTCAAGTAATTCTTGTACAAATGTATTGCATGTCGCAGTGTGATATAAACCTATCCTTATGAACAAAAATTTAGCAGACTGAAACATATTACTGTCAAACAGTAACCAAGTTTTGAGCTATATGTGTTTTACCAGACCAGAAGCGTTGTGTATCTTCCTTCTGTTCATTCTAGTAGTAGCGATTGACACAGAAGCTTTAGAATTGTGCTATTGAGTTCCATAAAATATGTTACAACAACTCCAACAAGCGAGCATAGAGCTGGAACAAGTCCTAACCCATATCTTGTCACCGAGAAGTAAAAATATCGTTTGATGTTTACATCGACCTTTGGTGAAGTGCCTGCGCCATTTTGCAAATCATACTTTCATCAACAATCTCTAGATGTTAAGATAATATCAGAAAGAAAAACAAAAAGTTTCTTTGATGTAACTGAAGAACATATAAAGCAAGCACACATAACATTTTGTCTAAGAAGCTTAATGGCCCACAAACGGAAGCACATCCACCAGTTCCGAACCAATCAACACACTCTGCATACTAATTGCTGTCACCTGTACAAATTGTGATTATCACCTGTACATTTCAGTGTAGAGCTTTGGCAGATTTGAGCCATTTGCAAATCATCAATAATAAAGAATGCAAGATATTCCTGCGAATATTAAAGTCAGCCTGAAATGTAAGTATTGATCGAATGCAAAAGAAGCAAAGCATGAAAGATACAGAAACTAACCTGTTAAACAGTCAGTACTAGTCGAGTGAGGAGATAAACCATAGGAACTTGATGGTAATAGAATTTTACGGAACCAATAAGACCATGGTATTCTTGATCGGCTAGTTTCTCTTAGATTTCTCCTCAGGCTTTGAAAATAAAATAAAATAAAATTCATTCTCAATAAATATTTCATCTATTATGGCATAACACTTCGGTAAAAACTGATCTGAGCATTTCAGAAAAGTGTGCATTACCTTGGTTCCTTTGTCCACATAAGAAATATGACCAAAAAACAGCAGCCAACGGTTATGGATGAATAAACAATCCAACGATACTGTAGACTTAAGGCAGGCTTAGAATCATATCAAAGGCATTAACATAAACAAGTCAATAGAAGCACAAACCTAAGTTTTGGTATTTTTCTTTTGCCATGGCCTCGCTAACACCAAATACAACTAAAGCAATCGTGTATGAGCCTAAATTAGCAACCTGAATAAGCAGTCAATAGAAATGTTACATATAAACCTAAAAGGCATTTTAAAGAGCCTAAATAAGACCAAAGGGAAAGAGCTAACCATGCAAAAACGCATTACAGGAGCTTGTTAGCTAGTGCTACTCGGCTTGATTAAGAAAAATGAATATCTCACTGAGTAAACTTGATCAAATGAAAAAAGAAAGATTGTTTTACATGTGAGAAACCTGAGTAGCAGCTTATCCTACATTGAAGATAGCTGCAAACATGATGTATGATAATGTTTCGATAGTTGAGGAGTTACTCTGGAGGAGTGAATAAGGCAAACAACCGCCAAAACCCGAAGAAAATGAGATAGCAAATAATATAGATCCTGCAGCATGCCAAATTTTGAAATGCCCAAATCTATCAATCTGTCATATGAAGTAGACAGAGTTGTGAGATAAATACACTGTTGTTACATTGAACAAAGGATCTTCACCTTTATCTGAATTCAGATTACTTTAAATTACACAAGACTACAAATTTTTTGAGTGAATGAAAACTTAAAGTTGCAGAAAAGTTACCAAAAAAAAAATCATGAACTACAAATATGTACATATTGGTTTGAAATATTGTTTAGTTCGGAAACAAAATTCTGTTAACAAAAAAAAAATATTGTCATTTCATCTAATCAATTCTAATTTCAAAACCAATGCAAACCGAACCGCTGGAGCTGCCCTGAACATTTCAGAAACCTTTTACACTGGAGTTATCGGCCTCAGCGTTTTAATATGTCTCGCAAAGAAGAAGATACACACAAAATGTATGTATAGATCTGAACAAAAATAAAATAGGATAAAGAGGCCTTAATTTTGTTTCTCTAAGCAAAAAAAGGCCCAATTTCGTTTGGGCTGTATTAAAAAATGCCCAATTTTCGTTTGGGCTAAGTTAACAAATGGCCCACATTTTGTTTTCTTTTCTTTTAGTTATTATATCCAATCTAACCGAATTTATCCGAATTTAACCGGATTTTAATCAAAAACAGAAAATGGGCTGGTGTACCGATGATAACATTACCACTTGAGAAAATGGCAACTCGAGTGACTGGATCACTCTGCCTTGCAACTGGTCTGCAAGCCAACAATATTTTTAAAAGGCCCTACAAAAATGGCAACATGAATGCTTTAAGCAATGTCATGTTGGAAGATGCAAGGTCAGCACTCCCGCCAAGAAAGCCAGGCTCAACTTTCGCAAGTGTGTTAAGACATTGCTTAGACAGGTTTCTGGTGGCATCACCCGGAGATTCTGGTGTATATGTCTAAATGAAAAAAATAAAGTTGCCTCAAATAAGACCCTTCTCAAGAATACTGATAAAAAGTTCTAAGATTACCAGAAATTTCTACTTACAGGAAGTGCCTTCTTCCAACCGGTGGGCAATTCACCTGAGATAATAGACTTCAACTCTGCAGCTTCCTCTGGATATTTCTTCTCATAAGCTGCAAATTTGGCATTCCAATCAGCTTCAAGAGCAGCGCCTTCGGGCGTGTGACGGCGCCAATGGCTAGGAAACTTAAGAATTTTAGTAAATTACCAAAGCAGGTTCTCATAACACAAACATAAACAGAAGTGTAGTTAAGTTCTAATTACCTATTGACATCCTCAGGTTTCTGGTAGCCTCAACTTCCTTCTCCCCAAGCGTAGCTACATGGACACTGTATGAGTTTTCCTTGATGGGAGAACCATAACCAATTGTAGTAGTGACCTAAACCATGCCAGAAAACAGTTAACACCAAAGGCCATGAGATCAAACGTTGCTTAATAAAATTTAGTATGTAACAGAATGAATTAAAACACAGAAACTTGCAAAGCGAATAGTGCAGAATCGATTAGATGGAACAGAGCGAGATGCTGAAACCACAACAATAATGACTAAATCGAGAGTGGAAGAAGCAACACATTCATAATCTTGTAAACAAACTGTATTGGTATAGACTAAAGAAAGTAGTAAACATAATCATCTTCTGTCAAAAATATACCTCTTGTGTTTAACCCGAAAAGAGACAGACAATGGTGCAGTCACATAAATCCCTACTTCACTCCTATCCAAGACAAATTATTCTACACCAAAGAAAGTAATAGTAAACATTTACCGTCAGCAAGAGAATCCGCAATTTCAAGCAGTTGAATAGCATTTTTGTGGCTCTACAATATACTCCGCTACTACCTTCTCGCATAAACTTTTCAAGCTAGGTACTGTCCTCTCCTTTGGATTATCGTGTTGCACGGATTGTAACAGACTAACAGGTTCACAGATTCGACATCATCAAACATAAAACCCTCATCCAGTTCTTCATTTTCTTCTTCCCTAATTTCATCCGCTTGCACAGTCTGAGACTTCTTAAGCACAGTAAGAGCATAGGCAGGATGAAACAGAGAACCCACAACCAGCAGATGTTTTTCACCAACAGCAACTGTGGTTGCCCTTTTCAAGTTATGGAGGCGAGAAAGAGATGGTGGCATATCTTTGCCATTCTTCCCATCCCACATGTAAACTTCACCTGTACTAGTAACAGCAGATGCCCAGCATTTACCAGCTGAAATTCTCACAACTGTTTTACCGTGCAGCGAATGCAACTGCAGCATCAAAAACATTGTTCGGATTTCAGTCTTTTAGCAATAATCTCGTCTTGGACTTGTTGTAGCTATAAAGGAGACATACAGAAGAACCTGTGACTGGCAAAAAACAATAGCTCTGACAAAAATGCTGAAGCCATGTATTCTCTCTTGTGTCCTCGTGTTCTTCGTCTTCTTCATTCCACAAATATCTTTCTCTTGCCCACAAGACCAAATACAATCCCTTCTTGAGTTCAAGATCTTGCTGACTCAGAACACCAATAACCACACCACAGCAATAATCACCTTGGAAGGTTTAGAGACGTGGAGGCCAAACTCAGATAGCTGCAACTGCAACTCGTCAGATGCAACACTCGTTCCCCTACCAGAGTAGTGATAGACCTGAATCTGCACTCTCTTGTCTTCTCTGGCTCAGTGTGAGTTCAAGCATTCTGAGACCGGTTCTGAGGATAAGCTCACTTGTGACGCTCGATATCTCGTCTAATTTCATATAAGGAGAGATTCCTGGAGATGGGTTTGTGAGCTTGACCAGTTTTATCTCTCTTGACATGAGTGATAAGAGCTTTAACGGCTCTATCCCTCCTGAATTGTTCTCCTTGAAGACTCTTCGGCGCTTGGACTTAAGCATGAATGTTATTGGTGGTACGTTGAGTGGTGACATCAAAGAGCTCAAGAATCTGCAGGAACTGATCTTGTATGAGAATTTCATTGAGGGAGAGATTCCTCCAGAAATAGGTAAAATCATAAACTCAATCTCAGAATTCAAACTTATTCATGTATGAAGATCATAGATATGGGTTGTAAATCATACTGACTTTATTGTGTTACAAGGTAGTCTTGCCAAACTGCGGACGCTGACATTATGGCCGAACATGTTCAGTGGTTCTAAACCATTGTCTGTATCACAGTTGAGTAAGCTCGAAACGTTTGATCTCCAGAACAATTCATTGTCTTTTGAGATGAGAAGTTAGTCAATCTATCAACTCTGTCTTTGAGCCTGAACAAGTTATCTGGTGGAACTTCAGAATCTGACAAATCTTGAAACCCTTGAGCTTGAGAATAACAATGGCTTGTCAGATGAGATTCCCTCAGAAGCTGTTTGGTCTGCAGAAGCTGTTTGGTCTTCAAATCCAAGAAACATGCTCTACACAGACCAAAGAGCAAGAGGAAGAGGAAGATAAAGAGGAAACAATGTTTTCATGCCAGCCATAGGTTGTCCTCTCAATTGTACAGAATCGTTTATAATGATGGAATAAGACTCTCAATTGTATCCAAAAACACCAACTTTCAGATTGAAGAAATCTGAATTTCATTCTCAAGCTGACTAAATAATATAAACTAGACAAAATTTTGTCTAAAAGTTTTTTTTTGTAATCATCTCATAGCTTGTTTATTCACAAAGATAGAAGACGAAAAGAGAAGAAGTAATAATAAAAGTTATTATGAGAGGAGGAAGGTAGGAGCTACATCTCTACTATTTTCATTATATTAGCCAATCAGATGGCTCCATGTCACACCCCTCTCTCACCCATCGCGCGATTTCACGCCCACTCTCACCACTCGCGAGTTAACCCACCAAATGGCCTGTTTTGAAACACACTCGCTCCTTTTTTAAAAAGCCTCGCGTGCGTGACTTTTTGTTTTTTTCTTAATTAATTCCAACGCAAACCGAACGAAATCAATTCTAATTTCAAAACCAATGAAAACCGAACCGAAATCAATTCTAATTTCAAAACCAATGAAAACCGAACCGAAATCAATTCTAGTTTCAAAATCAAGCGTACCTTGAAGAAGAAGAAGGGAAAGATTTTGCCAGCTGAAGTATTCGCAAAGGGCTTCTCCATCTTCAGATCCTTATTACTCAAGCTTGCCTCAGATTCTACTATGCAGTGCTTAAAGCAAAGTACTTGCCATTTGCTTCTCCATACAAGACAAGACTTGAATCAAGACTGTACACTCAAAATGTTGTAGTTTTGCAGCTCATAATCACCAACGCCATTAGCATCAGACTCTATAATAAATCCACAAGCCATTGAAGTACCGATTTCAAATCCTCTTAACCAGAATCCACAAGCTAAAACACTTTCACTATTAATTTTTCAACAAAAAGTCGCACTTGATGTAAAAACGTTATTTTCTTTTTTGAGTTTAATTTAACATCAAATTCAAAAAAAAAAAAGAATCCATGTCCTCAAGTCGCAGGTTTCAATCGAAGAAAGAACACTATAGGAATACGAATTTGGGAAATCCCACATAGTTTCAATAAGAGCAGTAAAATCATTTTGGTGTGCAGCTTACATGTTATTAGAGTGTAATCCCCTAATAGGGTATGATATAAGTGGCCAGTGAATGCCAAGAACTGAAGGACAGCATTTGCATAACAACTACAAAAGTAATAATATAAGTCACAAACACAAATACATTAGCACATTAGATCATCATGCCAAAAGCAAGAAACGTTAAAGATAGATACGTACCTGTTCCCTAAGTTCACAAGGCCAACTGGCTGTAATTCTACTCTATCACAATAAAGTTTCACAAACAAAAACTCATACGAGAAGCTCATCTGCAGAAGAAAACAGAAACATGAATGGAATAATGGCAGTAGATATAATCATGGTTTAAAAAATTAAACTTGCAATCATATTTTCTAGTAACCTCATCAATAGAACAAGAAGGTTGAGACATTCTTGACGACTTTGGATGTTTTTTTAATCCTCTACATACTTGAACCTTGGGACAGTTTTGGCTTACTAATAGCTTTTGAAGGTAGGAGAACAATTTCCACTACATCGACTAGTCCGTCCAATTTCTTAGCATGCTTTATCATGCCTTGGCCAACCCCACAATCTGACAAAACAAGAGTTGTTAAGTTCATGTCAACTCAGTAAATCACTCATGCTGTAATCTACTCAAAGTTCATATATAGTCTCAGATTCTACTTACTTCTTCAAAAGTCTCTCCTTTAACTCTCAAAAAAACCAGAAAAGCACTAATAATCGTCACATTGGCTTCATTCAGTAAAAATTCAAGAGATGCTTCAGCCTCAGATTCACAAAAATCTACCCGATCAATCAAAGATCTAACCTCCCAGGTGAAATCCCAGAGACACTTTCCAAGCTCAGCGAGCTGAATGTATTGGAACAAACTTACGGGTAGAATCCCTTCAGAACCTACAAAATTGCTACCTACCTTCCACAGATAGAACATTGGCAAGTGTTAAAGATCGCTTTTTTGCATCCAGCTCAGAGAAGTTAACAGCTCCTCCGCTGAAACCGCCATTTTCGTCCATCTGGAGAAGAGAAGAGTGCTCCAAAGCTATATTTGAATCCCAGGTTCTTTGAAATTCCGACAACATGGACTGTATAGAAGTGAGCGTACCGGAGACGGAGCGATGGAGTAAAATTGTTAGGATTTTGAAGAGGAGGTGGAGGAGGTCGGAAGATGAAATTAGGAATTGGGTTTGGAGGAGGACATTGTTGGAAGAATTTCGGATTAGGATTTTGATAGTGCGGAAACGACCACCGTCGTTTCATGAGTTCCGGCGACGGCGAACTTCACTGGAAACGTTGTGAGTTTGTGTGTGATTCGAAATGACACGTTTCTGTTTGCACACTTTTATTGGATACAGTGCCCCATTAATCAGACCCATTAATCTCTTTATCCGGCCCATATTCTATTTTCTTAAAAGAGATTAAAAAACCTAGCTTATTCATTAATTTACTTGGAAGTATTTAGAAAAAAGATTTTTGAGGTTGAATAAAATATAACTGTTATGCTACGTCGGTTATAAATGTTCTTTCATCAAATGTTTTATAAATTTTAGTTCATATATGCAAAACTTGAAGGGATTTACATGGGGAAATGTTGGCTACCTACTCTTTTTTTTTGTTACGAATTCAGCTATGCCGATTCGTTAAATTGAGAAGATTTTTTTTTTTTAACGGCAAATCAATTATATTATATTATAAAAGTGTTACGTCATACATGATACATGAACCATTAAAATACAACCATTGAATAAAATAAAGGAAATTGAACACAATTTCGATGAAGAAGTGGAAGTAACCCTGCTTTCCAAACGAAAGCCTTATAGGCAACAGATGACATCTGTTAAGTCCCCTCTTCATATACTCGTAAAAGGCTAACATCTTGTAGATGAAATTCCCAAATGCTTTCCGCATCACTTTGAATAAACGAACACACTGATATATTGCTTGAAATGGTTCTGAATCATGTCTTTTATAACGCCTTATCCATCGTTGTCGGTTAGTGACCATGATTTGCTCTTCCATAAAACCTGAGTAATCCAATTGAGGGATAATATGGACATCACCATCATCGGACAGTATCCATGACCAGAGGATATTATCGTGAATGCCACTTCCTTCAATCAGGAGGATTTGTCTATTAATTCCCGGATCAAATACCCAAATGACTTCTCCAAACCATAGATTAGGAGAAACTTCATCGGTTGACAACCGGAGATGACGACGGTGATAAGGACCACCGGAAACAAACTTCTTCCGAAAGAAGAGAAAAATAAAGCAATATTGAATAGAAAACTTCAACCCCGTTGATGGGTTGTGAAACGAAACAAAACTAACCGCTCTCGGATCCACCCTTCCCACGTGTAGCGACAAGGTCTGGGTATTGTGAAACACCACCCAACCTTGCGATTGAATTGGTGACAAGATCGGAGGGAGAGACATCATTGCATCCCAATCGGCATGGATTTGGAATTTGCAGATTTCTAATTTATTCATCTAGATCTATGCAAAGAGAAGAAAAAAAAAAAAAAAAAAAAAATCTAAACATAAGGGAAAAGCCGACCGACGCTGGAGAAGCCAACGCCGGCCGGAAACAACGGTGTAACGGAGAAGTTGTAAAGAGTCGCCTAAGTGATCGTCTTTTTCAGAGAGAAGATTTTCTTATTTTCCTTTTATTTTTTTTTATATAAATTTTTTGTTAAATTGAGAAGATTATAATATATATATCATAACTAGTTGTATACTAATTTGTCATTTGTGGACCGGATTGTTTCATACGTTTTGGTGTGTATTATTTATATGGATACATCTCTAACGTGGTGATATCATATCGTATCATATGGATTACGACCTAAAGCAATAGGAAAAAAAGATTCCAAAACTCTAAATTAGAATTTAGAAAAAAATTGACAAATTAAAAAATATAGGGGCCAATCGAATAACAAGTAGAAACGTCATGCTAGATTCCTAAAATTTATAAACTTCTTTTTTATTTTGTTTTAAGTCATCGTCCTCAAAGTTTTCTATTGACTTGACTCTCTCGACTATCAGAGTTTCTCCGACGACATAAAGAAGAACGGAACCTCACTGCAACTCTAGAGAGAGAAAGATGAAGGTCGTGGCTTTAGTGAGTGGAGGCAAAGATAGCTGTTATGCTATGATGAAGTGTATCCACTACGGTCACGAGGTACGTCTCTTCTTACCTCGGGTTCTGTCTAATTCTCCAAGTTTTGTTTGTTGTTCAGAGTTTCCCTGAAATGGCCTCTTAAAAAGTTCGATTTTTAAGCTATACAAACTTAAATCTCACTTGGGGTTTCTCGATTTGTGTTTGAACAGATCGTGGCATTGGCTAATTTGTTGCCGGTTGATGATTCCGTCGATGAATTGGACAGCTATATGTATCAAACTGTAAGATTTTGCTTCTTCTCTGTCTCTTCTGGTTCTATATATGTTCTTGAGTATGAGCTAAAACCAGATTTTTAATATGAACAAGGGTTTGAAGAAAGATTGAGCCTTTTTCTATCTCATTAGTGTTTATGTGAATCTGGTCAATGTTTTCATGATTTGTGAATCTGGTTCTTTTTCTTGAGAATAATAAGATTAGGTATTTTGGAGTAAGAATGATATATAGGATTCATGGTATTGGAATTCTAAGTTCTGTTTTTTTTTTTTTTTTGATTGGATGCACCTTCTTCAGGTAGGCCACCAGATTATAGTGGGTTATGCAGAATGTATGAATGTGCCATTGTTCAGAAGAAGAATCCGAGGATCTTCAAGGTGAGAATCCTTAGGCTTTCCAAGGCATGGTTTAATGAATTATTATGACGAACTTTATTTGCAGGCATCAGAAACTTAGCTACCAAATGACTCCACATGATGAAGTGGAAGATATGTTTGTCTTGTTAAGTGAAGTGAAGAGACAGATACCTTCCATCACTGCAGTATCGTCTGGTGCCATTGCATCAGACTACCAACGACTGCGTGTGGAGAGTGTTTGTTCAAGGTTAGGCCTTGTTTCTTTGGCATTTTTGTGGAAACAAGATCAGACATTGCTTCTTCAGGAAATGGTAAACTGTTTTAGGCTAAGAGAAACTCAAGATTCAAGCCTATTTCAATTTCAATTTTTTTTTCTCTCTTTTTCGAATTTGTTTCATTTAACTCGTTTCTCGTTTACTTGCAGATAGCAAATGGGATAAAAGCTATTTTAGTCAAGGTAATAAGGATTGTTGTTATATTTTTCCCGCTTCTATTATCATCAACATCTTCTTATAATCATGGTTTGTTTCACCTTAACAGGTCGCGGCAATAGGGTTAGATCCCTCAAAGCATTTAGGGAAAGACTTAGCCTTCATGGAACCATATCTTTTGAAGTTAAAAGAGTATGCCACAGTTCTCTTTCATGGCTTCATTTAGAGTATTATCTATTTGTGTTACATTGGTTCTAAAGCTTCTGAATGCATCTCTACTTAGGAAGTATGGAAGTAATGTATGCGGTGAAGGAGGAGAATATGAAACTCTGACTCTAGATTGCCCGCTTTTCACTGTATGTCCTTTTAGCAATCTTAACAACAATTTGTGTTCATTGATTTCTCGCATTTATTTGTAGTTTGACAATTTGCATTTTCGTAGAATGCGAGTATCGTGCTTGATGAATATCAAGTTGTGCTACACTCTCCAGATTCCATTGCACCTGTTGGTGTTCTTCATCCATCTACGTTCCATCTTGAAAAGAAAGGGAATCCAGACTCCAATTCCCCTGAAGAGGAATCGAGTTTAGTGTCTGAGGTACTAGGAGATGGTCCTAACACATCAGATTCTACTCGCCAACGAGATAATGGAATCGTTGATCTAGGTGAACACACAAGTAACAGACTTCACATATCAAAGACTGAGAAACACAACACATTCTCCATCTGCTGCTGGTTGGAAGATTCTAGTGTATCGTCAACAGGTAACTCAAAAACAGACCAAATCTTCAATATTTCTTCGCATATGTACTTGATATTTGCTTTATCCTCTTTAAACAGGTCTGAAAGAAGATCTCGAGACTGTTCTTACAGAACTTGAATCCCAGCTTTTAAAACGCGGGTATAACTGGCAGCATGTATTGTACATTCATCTTTATATCTCTGACATGAGTGAATTTGCTGTGGCGAATGAGACATATGTGAAATTTATCACACAAGAGAAGTGCCCTTTCGGTGTTCCTTCCCGTAGTACAATAGAACTTCCTTTGGTACAATCGGGTCTTGGAAAAGCTTACATCGAGGTTTTAGTTGCGATTGACGAAAGCAAAAGAGTTCTCCATGTACAAAGTATATCTTGCTGGGCACCTAGCTGCATTGGACCTTACAGTCAGGTGAATAAAATCTCCTTGTTGATTTCTAGATAAGCTTCAAACTGATTTGCAAACTCAGTTACTTCAATATCATCTACTTCAGGCCACTTTGCACAAAAGTGTTCTTCACATGGCTGGACAATTAGGACTTGACCCTCCCACGATGAATCTTCGAAACGAAGGCGCAATTGCTGAGCTAAATCAAGCATTGACGAACAGTGAGGCAATAGCACAGTCTTTTAATTGCTCAATCTCTTTATCAGCTATACTCTTTGTGGTTTTCTGTTCAGCACGCACAAAACAATCAGAGAGGAACCAACTTCATGAAAAGTTTGTTACTTTCTTGGATTTGGCAAAGTCTTCTCGGAGGGTACGGAATGTCCTCGATCCTATGTTCCTTTACATCCTTGTCCCCGATCTTCCGAAAAGGTTAAATACTGCATATAATCTTCCTTTACATCCTTGTCCCCGATCTTCCCAACAGTTTTGGGTTTTTGACAGTAACTGTTGTTCTCCAGGGCTCTTGTTGAAGTGAAACCTATTTTATACGTGGAAGAAGATACGGAAACTGAAGATGAAACCAGCCGAGATCAATCGAGTGAAGGAGATTACAGTTTTTGGGGATATAAGCCAGAGAAATGGCACCAAGATTGTGTGCAGAAACGAGTTGTTGATGGGAAAATGTGTGTGACTGTTCTCTCTATCTCAGCCGAACTAATGAGGAAACATCAGGGAGAAGAAGAACAACTGGAGAGAGTATCAAGATTCTGTGTATATCTTCTCAACAAAACCTTGTCTGAAAATTCATTTTCTTGGCAAGACATGACGGTGAGAAATGAGATTATTTTAAACAATGTTAGCCTCTCATCAAAAGCTTTGCTTATATCTTGTTGTTTTTGGTTGATGCAGAGCTTAAGAATACACTTCTCTACTAGTCTTGGTGTGTCCGTAGAGACATTATCGGACATTTTTGCGTCTGCATTCAGAGAGCTTAACGAGATGAGTGGAGTAAAAGTCGGCAGCTCGAAAGAACCTATCTTCAATCTCGTCCCTGTCCTAGGTGCTGGAAACTCTTGTGCTTCACTCGACAACATAATCACCTGTGAACTATTTGCCCTAAGGTCGTAGCTGTCCTGTTTCACAAGGAACACAAAGGTTTACTTTCTTGATCTTGGGCTCATCAAGGGCCGGTTTATTTGCAATGGGTAGCCAAATTGAACAGGCGGACAATTCCTTGCCGTTTTGTTTTGGAATACCTTTTCCATTTGCGAAAGAACAACATGTAGTTGTTTTGTTCTAAATGGAAATGGCACGATGTTTGTTTTTCTCTTTTTTTTGTTTCAATTGTAGGTGCAAAGACTGTTTACTTTGCCAAACCCAGTCCAAAAAAAAAAAATCAGTTATTTTATGGAATGGTATGATATTATTGGGTTCCAATATTATTTACCAGAAATATTAAACTTGGATTTGGTTTTACCACATATGTAACTTTCCTGTCACAGGTCATTATTAAAAGGATTTTAGAATCTAGTGCAAAGAATGTGACATGTTGTTACACGACAATATAGATCTCAGAAAGATGTGTTTTTCGATTAAAGGTTTTCAGACAAAATAGTCTTTTTCACGAGGATATAAGAGGAGAGATCCCAAATGTTAAATGCTATTTTCAAATTGTTATACAGAGATTGAAGATCTTTAGCATAAAATGTTAACAATGACTTGTCTATTCAGAACCAAAGTCGTACTCAAATAAATAAACCGACGTCTTTCCAACACATTTGTTCTCTCATATATTTAAATCAAGTGAAGCTTTTATTTGATATAGATCGTGGTTTTTTTAAAAATAGAATAAAATCAAATAGCTAGGGTTACTTACAATAGTAAAGTGGCGTTATTAGCAAAATTAATTTTTGTTTTTGCTGTGATGATGTTTATGCTTTGTATAAGATACTTTTGCATTTCTAGTTTATTTATAAACAATTTGGAGTAAAGAGAGAACAAAAACAAAGTATAAAAAATATCCAACAAGATGCCTTTGGGGGAAACACTGCATTGTGGTCTGTGGGGACAAATTTGCTGGCACTAAAATTCTGCAGAAGAAGAAAATGAAAATAATTTGATATCAATTATATGATGGTCCAAAAAAGTACTAACAAGTTTAATTTTTTAATTAGAGAAAAAAAAAAGATTGATTCAGAACATCCTTTTTACACTCTTCTCAAGTATTGAGCACCGTAAATTTGAGTCTTATGTAATAATAATAATCTAAAAACTTATATAGTTAAATTAGATATAAAGTATGCTATTTCCTATGGTTGATTGATTATATATTTATCTTTTTTTTTCGCCAATTATATGAATCTTTTATGTCACACACACTACTCTTATTAATTGGACAGGTTTTAATGCTACTCACATCACACGTGTATAAGTTAAATGCAATGATAACATCCGAAACTGTAAAATGCAGATACATTTGTGGCTAAAATTTTGTAAAATGCAAATCTTTGGACTTTGGTTCAGTAATGAAAACAAATCCGAAACTGTGTCGTTTTGGGGAAGGGCGTTAACGTCATTAAAAAGAATCCAAAGTGGAAAAGTCCAACCTGGAAATTCAGACGTAAAGCGAACCCAAAAGAAAAGAAAAATGGTAAAATCGTAATTAAATGTAAAGCCAAGGGTAATTTCCTTATTTCTCCTTGTTGGTCGAGCGAGACCAGAAAATTCGCAGAGAGAGAGAGAGAGAGATAGATAGATCTGAGAGTAGTGGTGGTGGCATTAATAATGGCGTAAGTAGAAGAAAGAAACCTAGCCGTTAGATCTTCTCGATCGATTCTCTCTTTCTCCTTCCCCATTGCTCCTTCCTTCCTTCCTTCGTTCCCCTCTCTCTGTCATTTGAGGTTTCCGGGTCGGGTTGGTGAGAACAATCCAGCGGCTTATCGGATCTTCTACTGGTATTTTCTGTTCCTCACAAGGAAATCGAAAAATTGATAAGAGGGAAAGTGAAAAAGGCGTGTGTTTTCGTTGTAAAGGCTCCAACTTTTTTGATGAACAGCTTGTGCTTGTTGTGAAGGTTGTTACTTTTTGTGTATTGGAATTTGGCTTTTTTCTTTTTGTTCTGAGGACGAAAGGAGGAAGCTTTCTTGAATTGGATTCAAATTTGAGCTCATATGATGAGTTTCTAGGGTTTTGTTTGTGATTTCTGGAAGAATCTGATTCCTTTTCTATTAGGGTTCGAGAGAAGTAAAGTAGAAAAGCTTTTTTGTTTTGGAGCTTAGTGAGTGTTGTGGAAAATAATGGAAGATTACTCCAAGTATACTCATAGTCCTGCTCATTTAGCTGTTGTGCTACGTGATCATGCGGCTCTTAGGCGAATTGTTTCGGATCTTCCTCGGTTAGCTAAGGCTGGTGAAGTTACGACAGAGGCTGAGTCTATGGAGTCTGAAGCTCGTGCTGATTCTGTTTCAGCTGTTATTGATCGCCGTGATGTTCCTGGTCGTGAAACTCCATTGCATCTCTCTGTTCGTCTTAGAGATCCTGTTTCTGCTGAGATTTTGATGTCTGCTGGTGCGGATTGGAGTCTACAGAACGAGAATGGTTGGAGTGCGTTACAAGAAGCGGTTTGCACTAGAGAAGAGGCCATCGCCATGATAATTGCTCGGCATTACCAGCCTCTTGCTTGGGCTAAATGGTGTAGGAGACTTCCTCGGATCATTGCATCAGCATCTCGAATCCGTGATTTTTACATGGAGATCACTTTTCATTTTGAGAGCTCCGTCATTCCGTTTATTGGCCGCATTGCTCCTTCCGATACTTACAGGATATGGAAACGTGGTTCGAATCTCCGTGCTGATATGACTCTTGCCGGTTTTGATGGGTTTAAAATCCAGCGGTCAGATCAAACATTTCTCTTTCTAGGGGATGGTTACTCATCTGAAGACGGTAAAATGTCCCTATCTCCGGGCTCCTTGATTGTTCTTTCGCATAAGGAAAAAGAAATGACAAATGCTTTGGAAGGAGCTGGTGCGCAACCGACAGATGCTGAGGTTGCTCATGAAGTGGCTTTGATGTCTCAGACTAATATGTATAGACCTGGAATCGATGTAACTCAAGCTGAGCTGGTTTCTCATTTGAATTGGAGACGGCAAGAGAGAACTGAGATGGTCGGCAATTGGAAAGCAAAAGTGTACGATATGCTTCATGTGATGGTGAGTGTGAAATCTAGACGGGTCCCTGGTGCAATGACTGATGAAGAGCTCTTTGCGGTTGATGAAGAGCGAACTGCTGCAACAAACGGTGCAGAGACCGATGGCTTTGAAGACGTATTAACACCTGAGGAAAGACTCCAATTGAATTCTGCGCTTCAGACTGGAAATTCCGAAGCCATCGGAGATGACGAGTGTGAAGTTACTGATCACCAGGAAAACGGAGCTCTCAAGGATAAGAAGGGCTGGTTTGGTTGGAATAAAAAAGGCTCAAACACTGAAGATACAAAGCTCAAGAAAGGCTCAAAGTCTGCGCCTGAAGACGGGAATCAGAAAGGGAAAAGCCAGAGATCTTCGATGGTATCTGATCATGCAAATGAGGATCTTGGAGACGCAAAGAAAGGAAAGGAGAAGAAGAAGAAGAAGAAAGGTGTTGCTGGAGATGAGGTTAAGCGTGAGAGTGAATACAAGAAAGGACTAAGACCGGTCTTGTGGTTAACACCGGACTTTCCTCTTACGACAGATGAGCTTTTACCGCTCCTCGACATATTAGCTAACAAGGTTAAAGCCGTTAGGAGACTTAGAGAGCTTCTCACAACTAAACTTCCACTAGGCACATTCCCTGTAAAGGTATAATCTTTTTCAACTCGTAAATCGTGTGTTACTGATATAATTGAATCACTCTCTGGGGGTTTATGCTTATCGGTAATTTACCTGCAGCTCGCCATTCCCATTATTCCGACGGTTCGAGTTGTTGTTACTTTCACAAAATTTGAAGAGCTTCAGGCGGCTGAGGAGGAGTTCTCAACGCCTCCTTCTAGTCCGGTATTTCATGATGCAAAGTCTTCTTCTTCAGAGAACTCATCACCATCATGGATCTCATGGATGAGAAGTGGCAAATCAAGTGACAATGATAGTAACCGTTACAAAGACGAGGTTGACCCTTTCTTGATACCTTCAGATTACAAATGGATCGATTCAGCTGAGAAGAAACGTCGAATGAAAGCTAAGAAAGCTAAGAGCAAGAGGAAGAAACAGGCGGCTACAAAAGCCGCTGGTGCTAGTGACTCGGGTACCCGTTCAAATCAAGTAGCCGAAGAATGATGAGTCCTTAATCGAATCATTGCATTCTTCAGGTTTTGCTTTGGCTGGATTCAAAGATGTTCACTTTTTGAGCCATCATTGTGGCCTTGAGAAAAGGCTTTTGGTAGTGTTGTTTATTGCTCTTGTAATGTCATGTTATTTCTGAAATTCCCTTAACAAAACATCTTTGTTCTCTCAATGATTAATCCTCTTTTTCCTTTCGGTTCGATTTTGGCTCTTCTTTTGCTCCCCCAGCATTCCTAAACCGGGCATAATCAATTTCTGAATTGAATTTGAATTTTTTGACATAACCATAAGTTTTTCGATCCAGGAGCAAAAGTGCAAAACGATATCAGTAATAAGCCATGAAAGTTTGAACTCCAATCATCTCTTCTCCATCCCTTTCTTTATAAATGATCAGTATAAATTTTATTTTTCCATCCGGAACCTTAATATCATCCCCCATTGTGCAATAGACAACAATTTCGAAGCTGAAACTAAGAAAGAAAAAAACAACCATTTGTCTGCCTTCTTCATTTTCACCAAATTCAGCTTTGATTAGGATTACAGCGCTTTCTTTCAATCCAAGAAGCACTTGATCCAAGACTTGATGAGCTCTAAATGAAAGCTTATCCATATATATAAAAACAATTGGGGTATTAGTGTCTCACTTGGCAGTCTTTTATCTCCTCTGGTTCAGACGCTATCTCACAGGGGAGAACGATGATAGAACTCTCACTGTTCGGCTTAAAACAATTAAATAGATTGGTATTAAGTGTCATGAAACAACCTCCTAATCTGATCCACGCTGGCCGGAATCAATGTCACCGGACATCGCTTGTACTGTGTGATTACCACAGAAGATGAATATAAGCTTATACCGAGGTTGGGTTTTGGGAATAGAGAGAAATGATTTGGAGAACTAACCTTTGAAACATACTTAAATACGCATGAGTAGCAGAAAACAAATCCAGAGACTGTGACAACTGATGGGTTTGCACGTTTTTGCAAGCATAGCGCGCAGAGGGATCTGTTGGGAGGTAGAGGGATTCCTTCTTTCGCCATCTGTTAGAAAAATAACCAAATATCATTTAGTTGACGGAGTGAAAGAAGTCTACATTAGTTTCAGGTAATGCCTACGAATTGATTGATTACCTTTGGGGCTGGAGGAGGTGGAGGTGGAGGGTACACTGTTGGAGCTGATAATCTCTCTTCAGCTGATTGATACCACCATTCCATCATCTAAAACACACGAAAATGAACGAGAGGTTTAGTTTCAACTAAATTATGTATGCAATGAAAATTATACCGAGAGACAAAGACACCAAAAGTATAGCAATTAGCTTTATGGCTTAAGCTGCAGCTGTAGCATATAAAATCCAAGATTATGCTGGAAGATTTCAAGACAGTAATATAAGAGGAGAACCATAAACTGGGAAAACTTATGGATACTTACTTTAAAGATAAAAACTGCTGCAATAAGACCGGTTTGGGCGTAGTCAAGCACCGCATATGAGCAGCTAAGAAGTGCCCCTTGCACTGTCTAATTCAAAATTCAAAATAATACGTATCAGACCTTGGATCACTAAAGTGTGAGCAGTAGTAAGAATCAGCCTATCTCATTCCTTAGGTTACATGAAGTTTCAGAAAGCAGAAATCATACTTTTAACCACGGAGGACCACGAAGTCTCTCACGCTCATGATTCCGTATCTTTGAAATTCTTGAGGATGTATCCATCTATCTTGGCATTAAAAAGGGAAAGAGCAACACAAAAAAAGTGTTAAGACATAACACATGTAAATTTACCACTTTTTGAAGGTTTTTATAGGTCAGTCAATGATATATACAGTAAACAAAATGCGGAATTTTAAGTATATCGTCCAACAAAGGCCAAGCGCCCTAATATTAAGATAATGGTGACACGAAATTTCAAGCAGAAAGGAGGAAATTAATACCAGTTCTTGCCCTGTAGCTCGACAAACTTGAATCCCAAGAGCTTGTAACCCAAGAGAATAAAATCCAGTAGCGTCCAGCAGATATAAGAGCTGGTAAGTGAACGATAATCCTACACAGAGATAATTATAAATGATACAGAATAAAATTCTCCATGCCAATGAATACGCAGAGATAGAGTATCTTACTCAAAATTTCTAGTGCTAAAAGAGCATGGATTCAATTAATTCTAGGAACCCAAAACCTACAAAAAATGCAGGTCTAGGCACGAAGGAAAAACAGGGTAAACTAAGAACTGCTCCTAATAATGTTAAAGGATCATCATCTACTAGGCAGCCATAAATCCACAATTACCTTCACTTGATGCATGTATCCAAGGATAGCAGACAGCTATAAACTTTTTTATTTTGGTAGCTAATTGTACTCGAACAGAAAGCTCTTCATTCCCACTAGGCTCTCTTGAAACAATTGAATCATCCCCAGTAAAGAAGTCAGCTTCATCAAATCCTTGATCCTCTGCTCCCCATAAACTTTCCCGGAGCCTAGCTTCTCTTTCTTTATTATAGATAGCATGCAATTTGGACTTGAAATACGGCAACACAACCTACAACGGCAGTACCAAGCTTTAAGGCATAAGCTTTAAGCTTTCAAAATATACGCATTTACAAAGTTTTAGCATTTAGGATAAATTCAATACCAGAAACACAACAGAAAGGATTCTCTGGCGCTTCTCTAAACCAGAATGTTGAACTTCTTCGCCGGAATCCTTCCTGACACTGTCTTTCCTCAATCTCAATCTCACCGATTTCCTCCTCAACCCATACAATGATTCAGCAAAGGAAGCATCTGAAACAATTCACAAAAACTTAAAAGCCGAAATTCCACTACACACCCTCCCAATCCCAAAAAGCTACCTGTGGTTCGTAAGCTGTGTCCTTCAAGAATAAGCATCAGAGCAGCAAAGAATTCATCCTCATAGTCTAAAATCTTATGGAGAAATGATCGTCTCAAAGCAAAAACCTAAAAAACACAAAAACAGCAAACAAATATAAGAATCACACCGATAAGATCAAAATCGAAAAGAGAAGAGAAGGGCATTATACGCCGAGGGAATAAGTGAGAGCGGCGCGAAGGCTAGCCGGAAGTTGCTGAGCAGCAGCCATCTCAAAGAAGGTGGGGCGTGTGCCTTCACCTCCCACCTGAAACAACATCTTCTTCTTCCTCCAATCTCTTCTTCTATGTTAGTGATAGATAGTTTGATAAAGGAGAGACCTTTGTGTTTTTGACTGAGAGATTGAGACCTTTAGCTTCTCCAGAATTGCAGAATTTGGGAAAGAAGATAGAACATCGGAGAAAAAAGACGCATTTCGAGAGATCATTATTAATTACGTCATAATAAGGATGTTCTTTTGCCACGTCAGCTCATTGCTGACTCATCAGCCGACAACATTCCAACTCGACAGTGATTTGTCCACGTCATCTCCATTAGGTCTGTTAACTGTGTGTGTGACACCAAAGTAAAAAAATTAGGAGAAATTTTCATTCTCTTGCTGCTGTGAGGATTTTACATAGAGCAACAAAACCACGAACAAATAACACGTTTTATATACACTATTACATCTGTTTGCAAGTTGCAACATCTTTGGTTCAGTATCATAACTTCCACCTTCTTCAGTCAAGAGATGTCTAATCTTCTCTAACCCGTTTCCTATTACTAGTCCCAGACGCAGATTCACTTTGATCCATTGTGCTACAACCATTCTGATCAGTTATTGATGATTCTGAATTGGTTGCTTTATGGAAAGCTTGTGAAAGGTTTGGTGATGGAGCTAAACAAGGGTCAACTTCTGGCATTGATGATGAGAAAGAAGTGTCTTTTTTGTTCTCTTGCATCTTCTGTTGTTTCTCAATCATCATCTGAAGATAGCGACCTTGTTCTTCAATTTGTAACTGCAGTGATCTTTGGATCTGCATTGTATTAAGACCAAATAAAACCAAAAGCTAAGGAACCAGACGAATGAAGAGGAAAGGACACTGTTTTGTTTCATATAAGCTTCTTTTAGGCAGTTGGAATTATTATACCTCAAGTTGCTCGTGGAGTTGTTTTTGAACTTTCATCTGTAACCTTAGAGCTTCAGTAATTTCAATGCTCCTGAAGAAGAAGAAAAAAAAAGCGTATGTGAATAAACATTTCCTCGGTGTTACATAGTAATTCTGACAGAAGAACCAAAATTTTCCTTACGTCTTCAAGTCCAGAGATTTGATATCTTCAATGGTTTTCAAGTTCTTCACTTGAGGTTCTTCTGTTCAATGAGAAAAAACAAATTTAGTATAAAGATGAGTTTCTGCACAAAAGGTCTTTTAAATGCCATTGAAGCTTTAAAAGCTGTTTCCAGAGTATAAAGACCAAAGCCTTTTGTGAAAAATAGAGAAGAGGGTTTGATTCTTTAGATGCCTCACGGTTTAAAAGCTTCAGAAAATGCAGAGCTAAATCTATAGAAACATATATATGAGTACCTCTATTTTCTGAAAGCTCTGGTTTATACCTTGCCGTTCTGTATTTCTGTATAAAGACGGTTAAGATGAGAAATAAGCGAGCCTAAGCATACAAACCGAAAACAGAAATAATAATAATAACCTGCAAATGGCTTTTGACATGATAAATGGTCAACCCGGGGCTATTCATGAGCTTCAAAACAGCCTTAGGGGTGGCTCCTGTGGTTTGCAATGATAAGCCAAGAGAACAATAAGTTGTTGAGCTAAATTTTGAGATAAAAAAGGAGAAACAAAGGGCTCACGCACGTTCACTACCACCGAGCTGATTGATAGCTTCAACAAATGCTTCATGGAGTTCTGGTGTCCAACGCATTCGTTGCTTAGATGTCATTGAACTAGCTGGTGAATTTTTGGTATCAAACGGCTCCATTGATGGATCCACCTGGTGCTGATTTTTAAATACTATCTCTTGCCTCGCTATATCAGAAGACGATGTTGTTATCTGTAAGACATCATTAGAGCCAGTCTTAATAGAAGAATCTTGAATATATTACATTGCTGAAAGAGACCCGCTGAATGATTGGACACAGAAATGAGCATAGAGATTCATATTTAGCTGAAAGAAACGAACCTTTGAATCTAGATTGAGGACATTAGGATCACCTAGAAGCTCCGACCAATTTGGTTCAAGACCATCATCAGAGATCAACTGATCCGCCCAGTCTGGCCATTCGTATTTCAAAAGGACTTCCTTGGATGAGACCATAGTTCTGCTGCTCTCTGCTTGTGGATCCGGAACAGGAAAATCAAAGAAGCCCAGAAGCTGGTCTGAAGACCATGTCATATTTTTCTGTTCTTGAGGTTGATTGATCAATTGCAAGGATTGTGTTTCCACAGAGCATCCCTGCCTCCGCCCTTCACCAGAGACGTGAGCAACAGTCATTCTGTCTCTTGGCACGGTAGAAACAGATGGCCGTGCTTGGGAGGAAGATGAAACATAGACACCATTGCAGAATCCGGAAGAAGATGAAAACAAATTCCCACCAGAACTGCCGCCAGAGACCAGAGGAAACACCTGACAGGGGACAGGACTGTTATTCATCAGTTCCTGTCCTGATGAAACCCACAAAGTGTTAGGAAAGTTGTGGCGGTATCTCTCTTCTAGAGTTGTAAAAGATGAAGACATAGCTGTTGGAAAACCAAAATCGCTAGCAAGTGTCATTGAACAAGTGCAGTAATGAGAAGATAATTATAGATATCAGAATCCTAGCACTAAAGGGCTATTCAGCTTAACAAGGAGCGTTACACAGAAGCAATATGAGACTGACTATCACTAAGTTAGATATACAGAAAATGACTCTGTAGGATAGAAAATATTCCATTCGCTAAGTTAATATCCTATTTTATTTATCCCTTTCAAAACCCTCCAAAGGAATATTGTTCACTTTTTGTTTTGCCTTGGATCATAAAAAACTCTTAGCTTTCATTCACTTTTTCCCCTAAAGTTCTTCAGCATATACCGCAAGAGGAAAGATAAAAACGAACAAGAAGAGATTAGTTGATTCTATATCCAAAACTAAACTTGTTTCAGCCATGAACCAAGAGAAGCTATCATCATGGAGGTGACAGATGCATAAAAATCAAACAGAAATAAGATATGGAATCAAATGCAAAGGGAATGAAATTAACACGCAATTTGGCAAAAAAGAAGCAATATGGCTTTTCATAAACCACAGGGACGTAAAAGGAAGAGAGTCACCATGAGCACATTATAACATTCAAATCAACTCTTATCTAACTTCAACACTTCAAGGAACAAGAATCTTACAAAGAACCAAGTCGAAAAGACAAAAAAAATTCTTAGATCATGACATGTCAACATCTCATGATTGAACTTTTTTTTTTTTTCTCATGATTGAACTTTCTATAACCTCTCCATGAAAAAGAACAAACCTTTAGCTTAAAAACAAAATCCAAAAACAGAACATAATCTATAGTGAACCAATTCCAAATCAAAAGAGACAGTAATATAATTGGACAAAATCCGCAAAGCTAATCACTTTAAGTTGAGCTAAAATTCAATAACAGATCAAAGAGACAAGTAATGAGTGTTTATTGCTTCCCCAATCACAAGAAAATATCTATTCACCTAAATTCACAGATCATTGAACTTGATTATTCTAAAAACCTCGTAATCCCCAAAATCAGCTAGATATTTACTTAACTCACCAAAACTCAAACACGGAACAAAGAGAATGCCCACAGTGAGTGAATGGATTATGGAATCGCCATGAAACCAATAAAAAAAGAGAATCTTTAATCTGAGCAAGCAGCAAGCACTCAGCAACCACACAGAATCCAATACCGAATCAAAAGGGCTTATTATTGAATGATTGAACTAAACGAAAATACAAATGCCTTTTTAGTATTTTTTGTGCATTATTTTTCTTGCTTGCTCTTTGGTTTGTTACTGACCGTTGATTTACACTCAGTTAGCATATTGTTATGAAAATCAACGAACGAGATTCATGTAGAGCACGGGAATTGAATTGTTCTCTGCCGTAGAGGATTTCTAAAGGTACAAGTAGAAAATGAAGCTCGTGGGGTCCAACGATTGCTTGTTTCTATTTTGATTGGTCGATTGCAGCTAGGTGTCAACTTTTTTTTTTTGCCAGCTACTACGACAAACTAATTAGACATTTTTAAGTGTTTGACCTAATTCAGTTGTTTTCATATGTAAATCTGTTGTTATTGACAAAAACAAGAGCAATAACCCATTGTCCTAAAAAAATGGTCTCAAATTGAATATTAAAGGTGAACTAAATCACAAGTTAACGATGGATTGAAACGCTAATGTGACAAACCGGCACAAGAAACGAAGGTTCTTATAAGAACTAGAATTGAGTTTAAGACATAACAGAAGTCTAAGACAAAAAGAAAACATCCTCAAAGAGATAATGCAAAACGTTTAACACAAAATATAGAGATGTCAAGCTTGCTTAAACGATGGCGTTTGCAGCACTTGCAATTCTTGGCCAGAGATCAGCACACTCCTTTCCGATTGGTCCAGTGATAGCAGATCCTAAATACATCAATCAAGACAAAAGACTCATCAGCTACAAGTAAATATGATAATACTCATTTATTACAAAGAGAGTGGCTTCGAGTAATCCTAGAGCAAATTTCTAATCAATTCAGATACTTCCTCTAGTAAAGCACAATCGAACAGAAACTTGCACACATAACAACCTCCTACATCTACTTGAGAATTCAAAATCAAATAAGCAATTCAGCAAGCAAAAATACCTTTCATTTCACCCTTGGGATTGACAATGACACCAGCATTATCTGCAAAATCACAACCTTCTATCAGTCTTTCACACTTGAGACAATTCAGATGCAATCACACAGAGAAGAAAAGCAATGCATACCTTCGAAATACATGAAGACACCGTCCTTTCGGCGCCAAGGCTTCCTCTGCCTAACAATGACAGCAGGAAGCACCTTCTTACGGAGATCAGGCTTACCTTTCTTAACAGTAGCCATAACCATATCACCAACACAAGCTGATGGCAAACGGTTAAGACGACCCTTGATTCCTTTAACCGAAATGATGTAAAGGTTCTTAGCTCCAGTGTTGTCAGCACAGTTCACTGTGGCTGCCACTGGAAGACCCAGTGACATCCTGAACTTGTTACCAGAGGTTCCTCCTCTTCCTACAAATCAATTAACCAATAACACAAAAGTTACAGATCTAATCGCTATCAACCAAAGTAGACACATATAAGACTAGTATTCATGATCCAGAAGCTTTACTAATAGTAATTAGGGCAAAACCATTCTAAGGAAAAAATGATGAGAATGACCGATAACGAGATATGATTCATACGCGATGTCGATAGATTATGTTTTGCGAAATAGAGATGAAGGAAGATGGAGAAACGATTTTTACCTCGCTTCGACATGGTTGCAGAGTAGCAGCTCTCTCCTTGGAAGAGTTTCAATGACAGCGCCGAGAGGGTTTATATATGCTTAAACTAGGGTTTTCTTGTCAGCTGTCCTCGATTTTTATTTTATGGGCCGACTAAGTCTAACAATAAGCCCAATATTGTTCTCTGTTTCTTTTCTCAGCACCTTTTTTTTTCCATCATCTTAATTAGCCCAATAAATTATATGTAAATTTGATAGTGTAGTTTCAAAAAACTAGCAACAATATATTATTTGGGAAAAATGTCGTTTTATCTCCCAACTTTCAAAAAGTGGCCAATCAATACGTCAACTTCATATGTGGCCATTTAAAACATGAAATAAACGTTGACTAACGTTTGAGACATGAAAATTCGTTGACCAGGCCAAAATAGACATGCCGTTATCAGTCGTTAACGGAACTTCTAACGCCCGTTATCACCCGTAACGACTCTGTTAATCAACTTTCAAATTGTGGCCATTTTAAACATCAACTTCATATGTGGCCATTCAAAACATGAACTAATCGTTGACTAACATTTGAAACATTAGAATTCGTTGACCAGGCCAAAGTAGACATGTCGTCATCATTCGTTAACAGAACCTATAACATCCGTTATCACCCGTTAACGACACTGTTAGTATGTCCAAAAAGATTTTTCCCAAATGAAAACACCAAATCCCCAAATCTATTTCTACAACAGCTCAAACAAGATGAATAGTCCTATTATCTCTATCTCCATTTCAGAAAAGCTACATTTAGTCTTAGGCCCGAATCCAACCCGAACTCGAACCCGAACAAGTACCCGAACATACCCAAATTATAAGTACATAGTTATAATATATTAGTAATATTTATACTTGTAATAACCTAAGTGCCAAAAATTATTCGGATGTTAAGATATTTTCGGGTGTTTTAGCTACTTTGGGTTAGATTCGGGTTAAAATACTTGGGTTTTATAGATTTTTTGATTATTTTTCAATACTTTGCATAGGATCGGATACAAAATTTCTAATATTTGGATACTTTGGGTAATCCTGAATCCGAACCCAAAATACCCGATCCGAACCTGACCCGAACCCGAAGTTTTAAAATACCCGAATGGATCTTAGTTTTCTAAACCCGAAAAACCCAAACCCGAAAAACCCAACCCGAACCCGACCCGAATATCCGAACGCCCATGCCTATTTTAGTCCTATGATGGGTCTACAAGTTTGCTTCCATGATTCCTTTTTAGATTTAAAACAAATATATAAACGATGTTTGCTTCCAATTATTGGCTCTACGATTGTCTATATATCAAACCATGTCCTTGGATTATGCTTTAAACAAAAAATTTGTCCTGATTTTCTCTTGATTATTTTCAAAACGACGTCGTTTTGGATATACTAACAGAATCGTTAACGGGTGATAACGGATATTATAGGTTTTTTTAACGAATGATGACGACATGTCTATTTTGGCCTCGTCAACGAATTCTCATGTTTCAAATGTTAGTCAACGATTAGTTCATGTTTTAAATGACCACATATAAAGTTGATGTTTAAAATGGCCACAATTTGAAAGTTGATTAACAGAGTCGTTACGGGTGATAACGGGCGTTAGAGGTTCCGTTAACGACTGATAACGGCATGTCTATTTTGGCCTGGTCAACGAATTTCCATGTCTCAAACGTTAGTCAACGTTTATTTCATGTTTTAAATGGCCACATATGAAGTTGACGTATTGATTGGCCACTTTTTGAAAGTTGGGAGATAAAACGACATTTTTCCCTATATTATTTTCCTAAAAGTAATACAGTATGTTTCTTTTTTCATAAATAAAAGATGTAAATTGTTCTTCTATAAAATTTTGTTTAACACTACAAAAAGGTTTCTTTGACACTATAAAATTTTACTCTCTACTCTATAGGAAAAAGGTTTATTTATTTTGTATGCCATGAAATTTTAAGAACAGAACTAACAGTGAGTTTCTTTGGTTAGGCAACATAACATTTCTACCTAAAGAAGAAGAGATTGTACGGGGAAAAAAAAATCTGCAGACCATAAAAGTTATATCATCAACCAGGAAAGCTAGCTGAATTATGCAGAGCTCATGATGGATCAAAGTGTTTTGCGGTTTCATGTTTTCTTTAATGTTTAACTCTAAATATTGATCGGTCTCATTTGCGCTTTAAAGCCACCGCTTTGGAACCTGCATTTCAAGAATTCGCGGTTGTTAGCTCAACGACTGAATCATTCACTTTAGAGAAATTATAATCGATCAAAAGCTTTAGGCAGGGATAATTGATGCTAAGCCTCTAAATATTATATCATCTTAGACATTCTTTCTCACCTTGTTGTTTTTTAGCAGGAACAATCCTTCTTCTCTCTAAAGACTTGCCTTGAGATCCTGACATATCACCGGAATGCATAATTAGCCAAGAAATATAATTTCTTTTTTTTGGTGACATCATTTCATTTATATGAACCAATGTAATTTGCCAGATAATATTTTTGGCCCGGGTCTCCTACGAAAGTACACAAGTTCTAACTTAGAACGTGTAAGCAAACAAAGGAAGCAAGCCAACAGTCTGTCACAAAGGTTTGAACAACAAAAGCAATGTGTAAAGAAAACTGACCCTCTATTTTTCTGTCTCTGCATGATTCGCTTCCGCAGCAACATCTAAATGCCTTTACAGGATGACTTTTATCATTGAAGTCTATCATGTAATCCTGCGATTAAAAACACAGGTTATTTGAAGTGAGTACGTATACAACTCAAGAGTGAATAACGTTACGGGAACAGTAGAAACACGTCTTTGGTTCCATCTCTAGTCATGGAGTCATCGACAAACACACCACATATCTAGAATGGCAAAATCATCAGAATGCTCTAATCTAATAGCTTTAGTGCAATATCCACAGTTAAGATCGCAAAACTTCTTTAGCCATGTGAGTATTTGTAACTGTGTGGTCAATACAGAGTAGTTGAAACCAAGGTAGCTTAATCATGGTGCTTACCCATGTCAACTCATCCATGGCCTTCACGTCCCGTAGGGTAAAAAAGGCAATCTGCATATGGCAAAACCCAAAATTTCCTTAAGCTCGCTGAAAATTACTTTCACAATCGGTGCTTTCAGGAAGATCAGGTTAGAGTGGAGAAACAAGATACTTACATGATAATAATGTCTGTCAGGCGTCTCTATTTCTACCGGAATATCAATCATGTTTGCATCCTCGCATCTGCATCAACAATAAAGTTCACAAGAACCATAAACTCTCAAGGGAAGCACGAAAAAATCATAGCACAACGAGCGTTGATTAATACCTGTGATTGATAAACCTTGCGACATTTCCACAGATTGTGGCATCCAGGCAGAGAGCTTCTTCATCTTTTAGATCCTTTTCAGAACCCCAGTCTGCATCCAGAGTTACAGGATATGTATGCCGTTCACTACTAGACCTTACATTCCGGTCGTATAACTCCGTGTTGGTCAATACTTCACCAATGTATTCACAGATAAAGGTTCCTTTCGGCAAGTCTTGCAGTGTTCTAAGACCCCATCCTTTCCCTTCTTGAGTAAAGTAAACCTGAAACAATATATTTTGCTCGTCAAACAAATGAAAAGGAGAAGAAAAAACGAGGGAGTAATATCATAGAAATAGTTAAAATCATGAAGAAGCCAGCCATCAAGACAAGAAGCTATATAGAAGACCAATTTAAAATAGTATGGTAAGCATATAAGATTGAATTGTCGTATCCTAGAAATGTTACCTGCAGTTCGCACCTTATCCCTCTCTGTACTACTCGATTTCCACACTGCATATCACATCCACACTTTCTCCAGCATTCCTTGATGAACTTCCGGATTAAGTGTCCATCACATTTTCCATATGTGCCCTTATCGTGATCTTTCTCCAAAGGGCAGTCTTTGCAGTAAACTTTAGGGAACGTATCTGGTTCCTTTTTCATCTTAAGACAGGTGTCCAGAAACTTTTCCTTTAGCAACCCTTCTTTGGTATAAGCATATTCTCCACTGGTTTCACGAGCACAAGTGCAAGGAACGTCAGCTGAAAGACAGTTCCCTTTGCAGTTCGCGCAGCAATCTTCATCAGAAATTCGAGCCAGAGACACGTGGAGATAAGCACTTTGGTATACAATATTGTGAGGGATGTAAGTAAACTTAGGCACAGCTTCACTCCCAACATCATCGACAAGAGATATTTTAACGCTCTCTGAACCTTTAGTTATGTCAGAAATTCTGCTTTTATATTTCCTCTTGCGATCACCATTGCTAATCTGTGGCTGCTTCTGGACTACCTGAATGGACGAACCTGAGGATGCAGAACGGGTTTCGTAAGTTTTTTTCAGAGAAGCAGGAGAGCCAATGACCTTAAGATTCTTCCCTCTATTGCCATTAGATGAACCTTCACATTGCTTCTTCTCTTCCTCAACAGAGAGAATAGCGTCGACAAGTGCAGTATAGTTATCCAATTTTATTAATGACCAATGGCCATCAGCCTCTTCTAGGAGCTTCATAAGCACTGGCATTGTCTTTTCATCGGCAATACCCAATTCCCTTGTTTTCTCTAAAGCTTTGCGTACCTTCTCGTCTTTATGGGGGAGCATCGCTTGTTGCATATCAAGATCACTTTCAACAGAACCTGCAAATACACACTAAAAATGTTAATGGGAACCAAAAAAAAAAAAAAATTTACTAGTTTCTAGTGATAAAATAGAATCTGGTTCATAAATATGAAAATGCTACTCACCAAACTAAGAGTCTAAGACACATCAATGCAAGAGCTCTAAGAACAAGGAAACTGATCAATTTATGCTTTGATTTTATATTGCTATCCTTCAAGAACTGAATCTAGACTGCGAATTTTGAATAAACCCAATCCTTAATCGGCAATCATCTAAAAATCTCACCAATAAAAAACCCTAAAAAACTGGTTTATCCCAATTCCAAGCAAAACAAAACCGGCGAAATCATCAAATCGGAAAGCAGAACAGATTCCAACATTTTTCAAAGTTTCAAGCTTAAACAGTTGTAAAACTCACCGAAATTTCGAAAACAAAACAGATTCTGAGACATCTAAATCCCAAATTCGCGGACTAAGAAAGCACATTGATCAACACAATAATAAGAAGAGAGAATGCATGAGAAAAGCGAACAGAATGCGAAACATACAAACAAAAAACCTCACTGGTTGGTACGGAGAGAGACTATACAGAGCAATCGGAAGCTTCTCGAATCCAGCCGCCGGCTAAAAAACACAATTGTGGAAGAAGACGGCGAATGATTTGCATGCAAAGAGCTCGAACTTAATAAATTAATCAATTTTTGAATTGATAAATGCCCTAAACACACACACTTTCTCGCAGTATCTGCATTTCTGTATCGTGATATCCATTGTTTTTTTTTTTGTCGTCTAGATTTATTATTAATTGCAAATTATGAGAACTGTTACATAGATGATTCTACAACTGACAATTCCTCCCGATTCTCACTAGATCCACGACAGACTACACTTCCTTTTTTTGTAATCTTGATGAATACCTTCAATGATCCATGACCTGGCGACACTTTCTTCTCTGCGTAGAATCCTGGCGAACGGCTATAATTGTACATCGCTGGAGATCTCTTGCACACTTGCCTCCATTAATCTGCAAATTTATTAATAAATCGCAATACCTGGGACTCGAACCCCAGACCTCTTGGTGTAGAAGCATTAATCAACCATTGGTCAACCAATGGGCCAAGGGGGCTTCCACGATATCCATTGTTTAAAGTTTTTTTTTTTTTTCTTTTTTTTTTTTTTTAACATTTATGTTTTCATTAAAATTTAAAAGAAGTAATTTGATTGGTATGACCCACGGTTTCATTTTATATGTACTAGAAAATACGAAAAATTCCGGAAAGAAAAAAAATTCAAAATTTGTTATATGATGATTTAGTATTTCTTCATTCATTCCCATCCAATCAAAAAAAAACTTTTTTGATTAGCAAGATCCGTCTGAGTTATTTGATCAATTCTTTGATAATTCTGAACTTTAGTATTAATGTATTTTTTTTACTCTTGGTATCAACCCAGGGCTCAATATTTACTTTTTTTGTAAACCAAAAGTTAAGAATTCTCCAATCCAAATATTTTCTATGCCGAATTTCCCCCATACCCCGAATATTATATTTTTCTAGAAAAGAAGAGACTAAACAATTATCTAGGGCAATGCCTATAGACATGTCAAAAAAAATTTCTGTAGAATGAATAGAGTTATAGCAAAAAAGATTATATATAGAATCTTTTTTGAGAAATTGTTAAAAATGCCCCTTTTTCAATACCCCTTTTCAAAAATGCCCCCTTTGAGAGTCCATTTTTAAGTTTGCCCTCTTTTAATTTTTAATGACTATTTTACCCTTATTTGAAACAAAATTAGGTCCACAAAATACAAAATATTTTTTGGCGGGAAAAGTGATCCCGCAATTTTCCCGCCAAAACACTTGTAAAAACCTTTAAAAAACCTTGTAAAATTTTCCCGTAAAAATTTTTCCCGCCAAAAAATTTTCCCGCCAAAAAAAATTTTTTGCGGGAAAAGTGATTCCGCAATTTTTTTTGCGAAATTTTTTTGGCGGGAAAATTTTTGGCGGGAAAAATTTACAATGTATTTTAAAGGTTTTTTACAAGGTATTTACAAGTGTTTTGTAAG